CAACGAATGATTCACAATAACTTGTGTATTTCGCATTGAAATTATACAAAATTTACTTAATGAAATTATAGTAACCTTTATATTTTATTGTATATTTCGTCAAATCAACTAAAAATTTAAATATTAATATTAAAGCTAAATATTTGGGGAATGCAGATTATACTTTGAAACATAGATTTCTTGTAATTTGCTTTCAAAGTTAAAGTAATAAAATATTACCTTTTCGAAAAAAACAACACGTTCACATTTTTATGTATATTACGTCAACCAATTGCAAATTGAATATGCATATTAAAGCTGAATAATTATGGAAAGTAGACTTTAGTATCTTGACATTAGATTGTATGCATTTTTTCTTCAAAGAAATTAATGCAGTATTTTTGTTACACCATGAGTTTTGATGTATATTTTGTGAACCAACATAGTTACAATATAAATTAAACATGCATATTAAAGCTGAATAATTAGGGATTATAGTTTATATTTTGAAATTATTGTAGCATTCCTAGATTTAATGCAATTTTTCTTCAAAGTTGAATTAATGAAATCTTCAGTTTTGATGTATATTTCGTGAACCAATGTAGTTACAACATAAATTAAACATGCTTATTAAAGCTGAATAATTAGGGATTATAGTTTATATTTTGAAATTATTGTAGCATTCCTAGATTTTATGCAATTTTTCTTGAAAGCTGAATAATTAGGGATTATAGTTTATATTTTGAAAATATTGTAGCATTCCTAGATTTTATGTAATTTTTTATTCAAAGTTGAAGTAATGAAGTATTTTCATTACACCTTCAGTTTTGATGTATATTTCGTGAACCAATGTAGTTACAATATAAATAAGACATGCATATTAAAGCTGAATAATTAGGGATTATAGTTTATATTTTTAAATTATTGTAGCATTCCTTGATTTTATGCATTTTTTCTTCAAAGTTGAAGTAATGAAGTATTTTCGTTACACCTTCAGTTTTGATGTATATTTCATGAACCAATGTAGTTACAACATAAATTAAACGTGCATATTAAAGCTGAATAATTAGGGATTATAGTTTATATTTTGAAATTATTGTAGCATTCCTATATTTTATGTAATATTTCTTCAAAGTTGAAGTAATGAAGTATTTTCGTTACACCTTCAGTTTTGATGTATATTTCGTGAACCAATGTAGTTACAACATAAATTAAACATGCATATTAAAGCTGAATAATTAGGGATTATAGTTTATATTTTGAAAATATTGTGGCATTCCTAGATTTTATGTAATTTATATTCAAAGTTGAAGTAATGAAGTATTTTCGTTATACCTTCAGTTTTGATGTATATTTCGTGAACCAACGTAGTTACAATATAAATTAAACATGCATATTAAAGCTGAATAATTAGGGATTATAGTATATATTTTGAAAATATTGTAGCATTTCTAGATTTTATGCAATCTTTCTTCAAAGTTGATTTAGTAAAGTATTTTTGTTATAACTTCAGTTTTGATGTATATTTCGTGAACCAATGCAGTTACAATATAAATTAAACAATATAAGGGAATATAAGCAGTATCTTAAATTTATTGCGGTATTCATAGTTTTCTTGTAATGTAGAGGAAAATTATCAAGAATTTTGATGACAATTATATCTGACGTTTCGTGAATCCATTTATAGTGTCTCAAATTCAAAGAAGAGACAACCACTCCTTTTAGGGGATCGCGACGAACGTGTAATCTGCATTAAAACGAACGGTTCTTCGCAAAACAAACAAACAAAAAATGGATCGACACGAATATGGGATAGGTGAAAACCTTGGGACCGAATTGGAAACACGCTGCGCGCCGCGAAATTAAGCTTGATCACTTTCGATTAAGTGATGAATCATTCGGACAGAGTGGCCTAACGCGATTACGAAAGCCGCTTTTAATTGCGCGTGGACGCATTAATTGGCACACATCAATAATACACAAACAAATCCAAATCACTTTCCAGTATTCACTTACAGTTACTTTAATACTTATACTAATTGCAAATATTTAAATTCACTCCAAAAGGAAATCATAATTTAAAGCTTAAGAAGACATCAATTACTCATGTTCTGCAGCTTTAAATTATGTTTCCTTAAGCGATCAAAGACTGAATCTAATAAATATCGAATAATAAAGGCTCGTCCTCTCTGGATGCAATAAATGTCAGTCGTTGCATCAATCATATGGCTTGTCATCTGTTTTGCTTTGCATCATCAACGTTTTTTTCTAAAGCAATGTTTCAGCTTTAATTCAAACAATAGAGTTTATTGTTTGGAAACGTTTCTAATAATGTTTATTTGTTGCATTAAATATGTATGCAGTTCATGTTAAATGAGACTTTGAAAGCAGCGACGCAGCTTCTTTTTTTTTGTTATTAAACGAAACTAATCGATCTTAATTGGACGAGGCGTTCTAAATTATCAATCAATTTGCTGAAGCCACCAATTCGGAGCTGTTGCTAACGGCGTTTTTTGCTTATTGCAAAGTCCTCAACATCATCATCGTCATCTGCTGTTATTATATTTATTCGAAAGGAAACGCTCAAGATGTGGCAATGGATGTTGTTGGCATTTCATTCACGGCTGATTCCTGAATGGGGATGGCCACACAACAATACAAGAAGAACATGATAATGTCCATTGCAAATCGGTAGGAGACCCGATAAATATTCAGTATTGATTTATGGCAACCGGACCGAATGCAAAATGCAAATCTCTGCTCCGCGCATTATCGTGAATCGTTAATTGAGCCTCCGGACAATAGACATTAAACATTCGCAATTTCGATATGGGGTTTATGAATATTTACGTTCGCTCTATCGAAGTGCAGAAATATTATTTATGGTTGATTCATCGGAACGTACAAACAAAACTTTTGCTAAATCACAACCTATGTTTAATAAATGAACGTTTTGTTGTGGTTTCCATGGTTTTCGTTTAATTTACCTTCGAAAACAACTGCACGTTTTGCAACGGATATCTCGAAAACAAATATAGTTGTTATGGAAACTATACGTGGAAATTGAGGGAATGTAGAATGGTTCTATAAATTAGTGTGATATTTGTAGTTATATTGCTTCAAAAGTTAAATTAATGAAAATAAATATAGGTGTTATAGAAACTAAACATCAAAATTGAAGACAAATATTTAGGGAATACATAATGATATTTTGAATTAGTCTGATATTCTTAGTTTATCTCACTTACATAATGATGTAAAAATGAAGCTGATGAAAATCTGTTGAATCTTAGAATTCTTTTTATATTCGCAATTTACTTCTAATTGGATTACAAATTAAAGATATTAAAAACGTAAAAGTGCAGAGTTCAATTACAGAGATTATCTTTAAAATCAATATATTGATTGTATTATATATCAAATTAAATGTTTCACAAAATAAATTAAATACACACAATAAGATGTAAGATTATATTGAAAATCAATTACGTATATATATACTTTTATTAAAGGAAATTGGATTACAGATTTCCATTTAAATCTCTTGCATGTGTATGTGGTGTGTGTGCTCGGAAGATTGGATTACGTTGGAATTGCAAGCGCAAGCAGGCAAATATTGTGTAGATGCAGCCGGCACATATAAATATACGTTTTCTTTTTATTATTTTGCTTCAAATCGAATACGAAATTTAATCTGGGAGGAATAGTTGCGTAAATGCCTGGAATGTATGTGTGGAAATTGCAAACAAACATGTTGACTGGCAAACCAATTGATTGGAAATGAATGAAACTAGTTGCTCGCTTTTGTACGATAAATAAAGAGCTGAAGTTTGCATCCACTCTGCAGACATATTAAAACACTCTGGATGCTCGAATACATCCACTATGCATTGCTTTATTTGTGGGGATCATTAAGAGATTACTTGCAATCAAATATGTGAGTATTGAGTTTCTATATTTTAATTTTACTTAATATGTATACTGAAGACATTCATTAATATTAAATTATTTAGAAATTAATGATAAAATTACAGATTGTACTTTAAAATGTGATAGTTTAATAAAAAAATCTGATTTCTTAAGTATAATTTGAGACAATGAAATATCACCACCTTGAAAAGACAACATTCTATAATCAATTAAGCTACAATTTAATTTAAATATGAATATTAAAGCTGATTAAGTGAGAAATGAAGACTGTGCCTTGAATTGTTTATTTTCACTTCGAAGAGGTAAAAAACCTTTACATTTTGTTGTATATTTCTATAACCAGCTGAGTTACAGTTTCAATTAAACATGCATATTAAAGCTGATTAATTGGGGAATGTAGACTGTATCTTCAATTATTTATGATATACGTATATTTCCTGTGATTTTCTTGGAAAGTTGAAGTAATGAAATATTATAATCTCGAAAAGCAACACTTTTACCTTTTGTTGTATATTTCTAAAACTAATTAAGTTACAATTGAAATTAAACATGCATATTAAAGCTGATTAATTGGGGAATGTAGACTGTTTCTTGAATTATTTATGACATTCGTATATGTGATTTTCTTCGAAAGTTGAAGTAATGAAATGTTATAATCTTGAAAGGCAACACTTTTACCTTTTGTTGTATATTTCTAAAACTAATTAAGTTACAATTGAAATTAAACATGCATATTAAAGTTGAAGAATTGGGGAACATAAGCTGTGTCTTTATGGTATTCGTACATTTACTGTTATTTCCTTTCAAATTAACAAATTTGTTAATATAGAACTAGAAAATTTACTTTGAATTACGTAGATTTGTTTATTGGTGTATTTCTTTCGACATAATTATGGAAATTTTAAAACATTCCTTTCTTCTTGATTTGTAATTATCATCTAGTATTAGCAAATATGTTAATGCAGTCTATGAGCTGGGAAATTTGCTTTGGATTTTTATGAAATGAACGTAAATATGGAAATTTTCCGAAAAGGTCAAATTGAAATGCAAAATGATTAATGCTTCGTTCGTTTGGTTGTTTGCGTTTTCAGTACTTTAGTGCCATGGAAGTATTTTAGACAGGAGCTGAACAAGGTGCATCCGATCAGCACGGGATTGGAGGCGATGGCTTTGAAGTCGACAATAGACCTGACGTGCAACGATTACATATCAAATTTCGAGTTCGACGTGTTCACCAGGTGAGGAGGACGAGGAGGATGTTCGAGTTGTCGCGATGCTTAAATATTGTGGTTCGGTTATTTTGGCAGGTTGTTCCAGCCATGGGCGACGCTGCTTCGAAATTGGAAGATATTGGCGGTGACGCATCCGGGTTACGTGGCATTCCTTACGTACGACGAGGTCAAAGCCCGACTGCAGAGGTACATAAATAAAGCGGGCAGCTACGTCTTCCGGCTGTCCTGCACGAGATTAGGCCAATGGGCCATCGGATACGTGACCGCAGATGGGGAGATCCTGCAGACCATCCCCCAGAACAAGAGTCTGATACAGGCGCTGCTGGACGGATACCGGGAAGGATTGTAAGTCACAATCGTAACGCATCGTCGGATAAAATTAACATCTTTCTTAACTTTTGCAAACAGTTACCAATACCCGGACGGTCGTTCCAACAACCCCGAACTCTCCTGGGCTGTCCAGCCAACACCTGAGGACCACATCGCCGTCACGCAGGAGCAGTACGAGCTCTACTGCGAGATGGGTAGCACCTTCCAGCTGTGCAAGATCTGCGCCGAAAACGACAAAGACGTGAGGATAGAACCTTGCGGGCATCTACTCTGCACCCCGTGCCTCACCTCCTGGCAAATCGTAATATAACAACCGAATTTCAAATAACAAAGAAAAAACTAATTAGTCGTTATCTCCTTGCGAAGGATTCCGAGGGTCAAGGCTGTCCGTTCTGCAGGGCAGAGATCAAAGGGACCGAGCAGATCGTCGTCGATCCATTCGACCCAAAGAAGTCGCACAATCGGCCCAAGGGCAGCGCGATGAGCAGCCCGAACGCCGGCAACTTCGACGACGAAGATTTGGAACTCGAGGTATCGACAAAGCATTGCACAAATAACGATTACGCTGATTGAATGTGCCTTCCTTTATTTTTTTTAATTGTACGCTAAAACAAACAAACAACAAGACAACACGAGAGATTTTCTTTATATACAAATACACACACACACCTCTATATATAAACAAGAACAACATAGAATCACCTGGGCTGTGCTTTGTGTCCTCCGTCTCTATTTACTTATTATTATTTTTTTTACGAAAAAGAAAAATAATAAACGAAATTATGGACCTTTCCCTTTTTAAGCTTCTAGCATGCTAATGTGGGTTTTATTTTATTTATATACTCTTTTTTTTTTGGAAATCATCATTTACTTATTGATTATTTGAGATTGTTGTACGAAGTGTGTTTTCTTTTTGTTCTTAAATTAATTATTATATTTTTGTTTTGATTGACTGTCTCTGCATGCGGCCAATTGTGTATTAAACGGTGATGAACATTTATATTTATAAATATTATTTTTTTTTACTTAAAATTTTTTTTCAACGATCTTAAACAAGACTTAGGGACTGAACTTTCAACGTTGATGATGATAATAATAGGTATTTCATATTATTTTGTAGGTGTTTTCACTTTCTCTCCTTTCGCAGTATTACTACAAACATTATTATTATTATTTTTTTTTTAGTATGATTTCTTTATTATTATTATTATTTTGATTAACCAACCTATTTTTTTTTTATTATATATATATACGATTCAGTTATAATTTAGGAAATTCTTTTAATTATTTATAAGTCGAATTTAATATAAGATAAATTATTATTTTCTTTTGCTATTATTTTTTTTATTTCATTGAAACTTTCTCCCTTGTTTATGCTTGGTACATAAATATATAAAAGAAGTTACAAAAGTCGTCTACTTGTTTTGCACATCTCTGCTTGTGGTTATTATTATTTTTTTTGTGTTTGCACCGTTCTCTATATGTTACATACATTATTATTTTTTGCTGCTTTCATTCTATTCAGGGTGCGATTCGTTTCGAGCCTCATCCTCAAGCCCAGAACTCTCGGAGATTATCTCTAATTACCGTACTTTGTTCAATATACAAATGAGCAAATATAGGAACGAAAGAAAGTACACTTAAGAATTTTCCTGTTCGTCCATTCCTTCTGTTCTTCAAAAAAAAAGAAAAGCCTTCCAACGGTGGTTCTATTCATGTGCATGCGAAATCTCTGAGGGTTCTGGGCGAGTTCAGAGCTTTCTTTGTTGACTCACCCTGTACTCGTGTATAGTATATAGATTTCGGTAAGTATTCGCTTTACGCTAAACCCGAAAAATCGAATTCGAATGATACGAAGAGGTGATTCGAAATTTGGGTGATCATGATGCACTTGGCTTAACGGGCGTTCCTAGTACAAAACAACACTGGACAACAACACAGAAAATACGCAACTTCTTTTACAAAAACATCTCGAGATGTCTAATTGAAATAAATTTAAAAATAGTGATTGAGAGAAGCCACTCAAAAATAATCTTAATCAATAATTATGATATTCTGTTTAATGTGGATAAATCTGAGTTGAGTGGATCTTAAGTTGTGTGTAAGATGAAACTGTTGTTGTTGTTGTTCAGTGTGTTAAATTCGTCGGGTGGAGCAACAACACGCTGTGTTCTCTATTTTCTTTTTGTAGGAGACTGGTGAATTGTGGAGCTGCGGTGGCAGCAGCTTTCCATCACTGTCACCATCTTCAGACGTCACGGTAAATTCACATAAACACACTCAGTCAAATAGAATCACCCAACGATCATCCCGAAACGAAGAAACGATGTGTAGTCCGAAGAGCTGATTGAATGTTGTATGTTTTTGTAGGCCTCGATAAGTCCGATGATCTCGCCGAAGAATAGCCCTCGCGTGATCAGGAGGAGCACCACGCCGACGATAACGATACCGGGAAGCATACCGCCACCTCTGCCGCCGAGGAAGAACTCGCCGACGCTGGAGCAGGTGACGATAGCGTCGGGGTCGAGGAACGGAAGCGCGAAACCGGTGAAGACGCTGAACGAGGCCCAATCCGTGACGAACCTCTCGCAGCACAGCAACATCGAAGTGCCTCAGATATCGAAGAGCAGTTCCATGCAGGAGATGCATCGATCCATCGGGGAGTCGGAGCAGCATCAGCAGCCGCCGCACGTCGTGGAGTTGAGCACTCCGGAGACGATCTGCGGGTTCGTCAGTTCGACGACGTGCGTCTACAATATTCCCGTGAAGCCGCAGACGCGACACCAGAGTTATCCAACCAAGACGAAACCGTCTTCGTGCAACAATCCTCCCGTCAAGTCGAGCACCACGCCGAACCTGGGGAGCGCCGCCGAAGAGGATCGTCACCTCTACGAGAACATGAACATCGAGGCGGTCGTGCCGCCTCCACCCAAAGCCAAATTCAATCCCCTCAACGCCAAAGACGTCTACTACGAGAACCTAAATATAGACTACATCAAGAAACTAGTGAGCGAAGGCTACTCCAAGGAGGCAGTCATCAAAGCTCTGGGCATTACCAAGAACAACATCGACATGGCTTGTGATATACTACACGAATTCGGCACGAAGCACGGATAGCACAGAGACTATAAGTGAAACGACTAGAAGGCAACAGAAAATTATAGTAATAAAAAAGAAAGATGATGAAGAAGAAGAGGGAAGCGAGAGCATAGAAAAGTAATATTTTTATATTAAAAAAAATCGTAGATGATGATGAAGAGAAGAGAAGCAGAAGAAGAGTAGTAGCGTGGCTGAGTTGATTTTAAAAACATATTTTTTTATTTCACCGAAATCATCATCCCTCGCGTCATTGTCAAGAAAATAATACTTGATCACCTTTTTTCTGTCCAACCCCACCGAGTGCCAAAGACGAGACACCTCTCCGGCCAAACCCGCAAACAAAACAAGAGAAGATTTCATTAGTTGAAGGAAAACGCAGAGGTGGCCATGATACATTTGTAATAATAAGAGATGATATGTTATTACACAGGCAACAACATAATAATAATAATAACATACGCAATTTACATTCCATAATTTAAACAAAACTAAATATATATATTATATATATAAACAACTGAGATTAAGCGAGAATTAGATTTCTCGAAAAGAAAAGAAGGTATATAAGTAATATACAGCGAGTCTCCAAAGAAAATTACATTTAACGACACTTATTGGTTGATTTGCTTAAACGAATTCATAACAGTTTTCTTAATATCACTTCAATCAAACGTTTGCTTGGAAATCGGTAATTGTATTTAACTTCTTCGAGATATGCCCTGTATTGTGTATATCGAATCAAAAAGATAACAAGAAAATAAGTAAAACAAACAAACAGCAACGTTATATATTTTCTAAATGATACAACATGTCGAGAGTCTGAACAGTCAGTATTGTGTATTTCATGCAGAATTATTGTTATTATATTTTTTAATCTGTTTTTTTTTTGTTTCTTAAATTTGCACCGGACTTGCGAGCTTTCCTTGGAAGAATCACTTGGGTCCTTCGATCGCGAAACGCAGGCCTTAATGATAGTGTGTAGTTTGAATAAGCGTGGAACCGTACGAAGGGCCGTTTCTTTTTTCGCAATTTGTGTTTGTTGTCAATAATATTGTCTCCTGCGAATGGGAATTTTAGTGCCTTACCAATTCATCGAGTCATCATCATAACATTTGGTTAACGAAAGCAAAACCTGTACGAACTAACAAAGACATTCAATTTTTATTCACGAACATCGTAACATTGCCTTACGAAGACGATTGTAAAGTTTCATTAATATGTGAGCTTCGAGCGAGTTACCACAAGAGCAATTTAATATTTAGGTGCAACAACTAATAGTACAAAGACAAGTAATATTATTAAAAAAATAAATAAAAAGTTATGTGCAAACATGTAACAATTGATACGATTAAAAGAATAAGCTGAAGAAAAAAAAAACAGTTTTATTTTAACTCGTGTATAATATAAATTCATCGCAGTTAACTTTGATGAGTATAAAAGAAATAACTAATGTTAGTACTTATTCATTCAATATAGAAAGTTACTTAGGAAAACGCTAGATTGTTGAAGACATTTTTCATCCTTAAAGATAGTATTTTTTTGTTTTTTCATTACCAAAGAAACAATTGAATGTCTTCGTTTAACGTTCATAAATTTAAGCGCCTTCGATCAATACAATCTGAAATCTGTTGCATTGTTGTTGTTATGCAAAAATAAAAACAGATGTCGTGTTTTTTTTTCTCTTCGTCTTCTGGGCTCTCGTTTCAAAAAGCATGCGATTCAAGATTCCACTTTTACGAAACACACAAATTGCGAACAGAAACAACAACGAACGTTCAAAGTCCGAAAGTTCATAGTCTCGACGCGAAAATGCAAACGATTCGCACATCTCTAAAACCCACGTAATTACTAATTTACATTGCAAAAACCGAAGAGGGTGTTGAATGTCTATACGCACAAATCTTCAAGACAAAACCATTGTTATTTTTTAACAAAAAACTGGTGCGATTCGTTTTGCTTGGAGAAAACTGCGTGTACATATATTTTGTTGCTTCGTTTCGTTAGTTCAAATTAATGTAATAATGATAGAGAAAGAATTTATTAAATTATTAATTTCATATTGAATGAGATGTAATAGCATTTATTTTCATATTAATTTATTCTTTGTATAGTTTTAATTAGTGTTTAAATGCGTTTTTTGTTTTTGTTGTTTTGTTCGTGCAATGACGAGAGATGCAATGCAATGATCAGGTCGGACGAGAAATCGAGAGATCTTATTGGAAACAAATGCAATAATATTTGAAAAGCTTTGTACAATTATTTATATAAACAATAATTATTAATTATATATTTGACATATCGTGTTTATATTTAAATGTATTTTATTTATCTCTCTTTCTCTCTCTCTCGCTCGCTCTCAGTCTCACAAACAAATGAAAGCAAAAATAATCAATCAAAAACAAATGAAAACTGGAAACTAATCGCACGCTATTTGTTTTTCACGGAAAGCGCAGATTTAATTAGTCGACACTTTCATTTAGTTAGTAATTTCTGTTAATATTTTTATTTTTTTTGGTATTTATTTCATACTGCAATCTGACTGCGCTATATAATATGTATATTATTATTATATATATATACTATGTAATTATTATATTTATATATTTTTCCTCAGGAAACTAAAGTCTGTTTATATAATTATTAAACGAAAATAACGACGAAGATGTGAAGAGAATCATGAGTAATAATAAATAATTTGGTGGAGAAAACGTAAGCGAATGAAACAAAGAAAATAAAAATAGAAATAATAATGATAAAGGAACAATTTTTGTTTAAATTGAATATGGAATATGTTTTCTATTTTCGTGTAAATACATTTTTTTTTTGCCATATTTAATGTATAACTTATATACATATATAAATATATAGTATATACAAATCCATACGAAATGCGTTATTTTTATTATAATAAAATCGAATTGTTGACTTTTTCTTTAGGTGCAACAAAATCTTTAGCGTTGCAGAAACTGATTCATAAAGTAAGTATATACTTGATTATTATATTAACGATAGTTTTCTTAAGAATTTACTCATTACTTTACCTTCTATACACGGCAGATTTTCCTAAAACTAACAATACTACGATTGCAACATTCGCTGATGACACAGCAATCTTGGCATCAGATGAGAATCGAGCAGAAGCATCCGAATATCTACAGGAGAATTTAGATAAGCTACAAGAATGGTTTAAAAAATAGAAGTTGACGAAATGAAATCCGTGCATATCACATTCACGCTAAAGAAAGACACCTGCCCAACTGTAAGACTTAATGGACAAGATCTGTCCAAAGCAACAAAAGTCAAATATATAGGCATGCATCTAGACAGAAGACTCATCTGGAAAGATCACATTCAGGCTAAGAGGGAGCAATTAGAAATAAGGTTTAGAAAACTCTAGGGAAAAGGTCGGATTATCAGTGGAAAATAAATTACTTATATACAAAGTAATACAGAAATCAGTATGGACGTATGGTATAAAATTGTGGGGTGCAGCCAGTAAATCGACATACAAAATAAAAACAAAGGTTCCAATCAAAATGCTTAAGAAACATTATTACTTTAAGAAGAAAATTCTTTAACAATCCTTTATTTTATATATTTATGTCTTTCTATAAACATTTTTAATTATTTAGCTACAATAGTTGTGACAAAAAAGTAAACTTTTGTCCAGAATTTTTCACTTTAATTATAGTTAAATTATAGAAACTAGATCAAAAAAACTTAATTTTATATATTTAATCTGACTTTTTATAAACATTTTCTTACAAACAATAAAAATTTTACAACATACAAATTATACAAAGGTTCCAATCAAAATGCTTAAGAAACATTATTAGGATTCCATGATTCGTCAGGAATAAACAAATACACGAAGATCTTCATATAGATATGGTCCAGGATACAATAGCAACATTTAGTAGTAGATACCAAGATAGACTGGAGTCTCATACTAATGTTCTGATTATTGGCCTACTCGACAACAGTGAAACCACAAAAAGGCTGAAGCGTTGCAAACCATTGGATTTAGTATATAGATTTAAGTTCAAATCATCATAATGGTAACTATCCACCGGGAAAGATTGTCCATTTAATGTCAACCGCGATCTTAAATTTACACAATGTTCACATCGATTGTGAATAAAAAAAAATGGATTTGCAGAAGGAATAATGCGGGGAAAAATAAATTATTAAGATTCGTAAGTAAACGCATTCAAACAAGACATCGTCAGCCTTATTTTATTGATTGAAATGTAACCCAACAAAACAAAATATATAATCGGAATATTATACAATAAGTACAAATTCTAAAAAAAAAAAAATTGATCGAAAATTGATTTTTCCTTTACAATATTTCGAATAAAAGCGAATACAAAGTAGACACGAAATAACAATAAATAAAAACAATGCTAATTAAGAAAAGAAAGAAAAAACAATAGAGAGAAATATAATGGTAATGAGCGATAATATATAAATCGTACATATATATCAAAATAAAAATATCAAGTATATTATATAATAAAGATAATAATTGTAATAGTTGCGGTATTATTAATTATTAATAAGTAGGATAATTGATGTTTAAGGTCACGATGGAATTAGCTACTTTCATTCACGAAGAGGAACAAACGAAAAAAATATATAGCGCATCGAAAAGAACTATAGTTTTCTCTCAATATATATATATTTTTGCTAGATAACCTGAGTGTGGATGTTTTTTTGTGTGAGTGTGTGTTTCTTATATAATTTAACAATTGTTATACTAAGCAAGTAAATGGCTCGATCACTTTTCACAATAAATTAAATGAAATACAAAAATCGAATTAACGTAATAGGAGGGGGAGAAAAGAACGTAAACAAATTATAATAATTAATTAATTGATAAAAAAAACAACAAGTTTCGTGAGATGCACTGTTTACACGTACGCCGAAAGGACGAGCATACCGAAGCTGCCGATGAGGAAGAGGCCGGCCGGAACGCTCGATAGGAGTCGATACCGTTCATCTGCGGAAAAAACAAAGTTATTATTCACGTGTCTTTTGCAGAAGTGGTAATAATAAGTTACCTGTCATCGCCGCAGATTTCTTGCCCAAAGCCCAACCCAACGATCGATGCACCGCCATCTTCCATTTGTTGTACCTCGCGTTCCTCTCTGCAAATAAATTGTATTTTATTTTAAGAATTTATCTTTAAGATTGGAAAGTGCATGAATAGAGAGTCTCACCATCTTCTGTGGTCGTAGGTAAAAATGTATCACTGGGAACGATTTCCCTGTCTTTTGCACTCAAGTCCCAGACGTCGATGCCCTTAGCTTGTCCTGCAGCCATGGCTACACCGAGAGCGGTCATGTCTTGCGACTGCGATCTGAAAACCGGGATTCCGCTGATGTCGGCCTGAAATTCCCATAAAAAATGAACACGACTTTCGATTTATCAATTTTCAACTGATTCATTTACCTGCAATTGCATCAGTAAATTGTTGGTGGTCAGCTTCCCGTCGACGTGCAGCTTGCTCAACGGGATTCCGCAATCCTTGTTCATCGCTTCTAAGATATCTCTGGTTTGGAAGCAGACGGCTTCGAGCGCGGCTCGGATTATGTGTTTCTTCGTCGTGTAAGCAGTCAATCCGCAAATTATACTGAGAACAGCACACGAATTATTTCGATTTAGATATTAAGAAATTTGACTGATTACCCTCTAGCGTCTTTCCTCCAGTACGGAGCGTACAGGCCTTTGAAAGCAGGAACGAAGTAAACGTCTCCGGTATTGAAGACTTCTTGGGCCAAAGATTCGGTATCTTCTTGGACGTTCTTAATTAGGCCCATGTTATCTCTAAGCCAGTTCAAAGCTTCTCCAGCTATTGCAACGCTCCCTGCAAAGATTACAATTTACAATTGAAATAAATCACCAAAACAAAACTATATACCTTCAAGCGCGTAAGTAGGCTTGTCGTCTCCGAATTTATAAGCTACAGTTGTAACAAGGCCGTGTGTTGATTGCACTCTCTAAAAAATTAAATATTTATTATCATTTCACTAAAGTTTTAAATTGAACTAACCGTTTTTCCCGTATTATATAATAGAAAGCATCCGCTCCTGTAGGTGTTCTTCGCCTGGCCTTCCTTAAAGCAATTTTGTCCTACTAAGGCAGATTGTTGATTACCTAAAATCTGCAACAACAACAAGTATTAAGTAAACAGTTTGAATGGAATTGAGTATAGTTTATACCCCTGAGATAGGTATGCCGTCAAGGACTGTTCCTTTAACCTTCCCGTACACCTCCGAGCTGTTCCGGATTTCCGGCAGGATGGCGGCGTTGACGTTGAATGTGTGCAGAAGCAATGGGTCCCAATGCAGAGTCTCAATGTTCATCAGGAATGTACGTGAGGCATTTGTGACGTCCGTTATGTGGATTCCACCGTTTACACCGCCAGTCAAATTCTAAAATTTACACAATTTAATAAGCAAATTCAATAGAATTCGTTTAATGAATTACCCATACGATCCACGTATCGATTGTACCGAAAAGGCAGGTTCCCTTCTTGATCGCCCGTCTGATGTTCTTCACGTTGTCCATCAACCATTTGAGTTTGAAGGCGCTGAAGTACGGAGACACGGGAAGTCCGCAGATTTGCTTGAAATGGTTCTTGTTATTGTCCGGCAACTTGGCGAGGATTTGATCTACCGTGGACGAAGTTCGGATATCGTTCCAAACTGAAGACAAACAAACAGTTAACAACAAATTATATAATTTACACAATAATATTACCTATAGCGTTGTGCAGAGGTTCTCCGGTTGTCTTATCCCAGACAACTGTGGTTTCTCTTTGATTCGTCACACCTATCGTTACTATATCAGAAATATTACAACCTGAAACAACAACAAAATCGTGATTTACAACAATTGACTTAATCAAGGTCCAAAAACAATTATTAATAATTATGTATAATTCGATACATTTCATAGAAATCATGTAAAAGTCTATAGTATCTAAGAATGTATTTGCAAAAACAAAAGTCCATGTTATTTATACGTGTCTACAAATCGGATTGGCTTTGAAATCGCTTGCGCTACGCTCATGATACCCATGTGACAAAATGATGGTCTTGCGTAATAAAACACATGCAACCGAAATAGCAACAACTAGAATCGGTTTCAGATCAGAATTTTTTACTAAATTTTTGTTTAAACATATTTATTTCTGATAATATTCTCGTTGTACTCGAGTTGAAACAACTGATTATCCTATTACATTTTGAGCGCGCAGATTGGATGTTGTCGTTTGGAATGAGTGAGTCGCTGTTTGTTTTCGCTGCGCTTCCAATTAAGTGGATATTATCAGGGATCCACTCCACCGTGCGAGTATTAATAAGATAAAACTGGATCAATATTGTTTAATTAACAAAAAGCGAAGCACGATCATTTCCTTCAGCGATTACATTCAAGTACAAAGAAACGCAAAAGATAGAAGAACTATCTGCAATTCAACAACTGCAATGAAAGTTTCGTAATAAACTACATTGAAGGTAATTGTTTAATCAGCTGATATGACTTTAACAATTCCTGAAATCAGTATATATAAAAAAATCAATTGCAATCGAATAAAAACAGGATGAAACAAAGAGAACTTTGATTAAATCTCGAAAGGAATAACGTGATTTATTGATGTATTTTGCAATTCCACGATCGAACCAGCCGGAGGCAGAAAGAGTTGGTTTATGTGAAGCAGAAGGTCAATTCGCTGATTACAAATGTATGCTTTGTAAATATATAAATAAACTGCAGAGAAAATGCGTATTTATAATAAATTGATGCATTTATTGTTGAACTTACGCAATAATAACAAAAAAAATGTTATACGAAACGTTTTACAGATATAATCTAAAATTTTGAAAACGAACGAAATATTTGCAAGTAATTGTTTCGTAACTCGGCGAGATATTATTGTTTACACGCAATTAATGTTTTTGGCGACAATAATAGATTAGATTTTGAAAATCTCCCGGCAATAATCGTATAAAATTCTTTAAATTTTCGCACGACAAATGTGTAAATTGAAATTACTTTTTTTCTGATATTTGTTACACGTTTCTTCTAAACGAGATAATAAAACTGCAGTCAAGTTGTAAACTAGAATTAAACGTGAATTACTTAATTTTACGAGATGCTTAAAGTGCTCATAAACGTAAACCAAATTGTGTGTCTAGCAAAAAAAAAATCAGTCAATAAAAGTGAACTTTATTATTTATAGAAAAATATATCTGAAGTATTGAAGTTCAATGAATATTATGAACAAAATATGATTGTTTTTCGTATTAATTCCACGATAAATTTCTTATCATGAAATTGTGACTAATTAGGGGAAATCCAATGTAAAATGCATTTACATTAATTTTGTCCATAGTGATAAAATATTTTAAGTAAGTCTTTTGATAATATTTTAACAGATGTTTATAAATTGGTATTTTTCGCATAATTTACAAATTTGAATAAAAAATGAGCTTGCATTATATCGTTTATGTTTATGTTAAATATTTGTTTTTATGTTATTAAAAAATTTATCATTTTATTTACAGAATGAACAAATTTAATGGAAATCCCTAAATTTCTTCACTGAAATATTTTATATCTAAATTTACGTAAAACTTCAATGAGTGTTTTTTTTTATTAAATAACGCGTTTGTTATTGAAAATGTATCAGTTTGTTAAATTGCAGACAATTTCAATGGAAATCCCTAAATTTCTTCACCGAAATATTTTATATCTAAATTTACGTAAAACTCAAGAGATATGATAAAGTAAAATGAATACTTTCGAGAAAATAATCAAAAATTTAAATACTTTTTGAAGAATTTCTTAATTTTCAATGAGTTTTTTTATTAAATAACGCGTTTGTTATTGAAAATTTATCAGTTTATTTAAATTGCAGACAATTTCAATGGAAATCCCTAAATTTCTTCACCGAAATATTTTATATCTAAATTTACGTGAAACTCAAGAGATATGATGAAGTATAATGAATATTTTACAGAAAATAATCAAATTTTAAATTCTTTTTGAAGAATTTCTTAATTTTCAATGAGTTTTTTAATTAAATAACGCATTTGTTATTGAAAATTTATCAGTTTATTTAAATTGCAGACAATTTCAATGGAAAACCCTAAATTTCTTCACCAAAATATTTTATATCTAAATTTACGTAAAACTTCAATGAGTGTTTTTTTTTTATTAAATAACGCGTTTGTTATTGAAAATTTATCAGTATGTTAAATTGCAGACAATTTCAATGGAAATCCCTAAATTTCACCCAAATATTTTATATCTAAATTTACGTAAAAATCAAGAGATATGATAAAGTAAAATGTATACTTTACAGAAAATAATCAAAAATTTAAATACTTTTTGAAGAATTTCTTAATTTTCAATGAGTTGTTAAAATATATAATATATAATGAGTTATTAAATAACGCGTTTGTTATTGAAAATTTATCAGTTTATTTAAATTGCAGACAATTTCAATGGAAATCCCTAAATTTCTTCACCCAAATATTTTATATCTAAATTTACGTAAAACTCAAGAAATATGATAAAGTAAAGTGAATACTTTACAGAAAATAATCAAAAATTTAAATACTTTTTGAAGAATTTCTTAATTTTCAATGAGTTTTTTTTTATTAAATAACGCATTTGTTATTCAAAATTTATCAGTTTGTTAAATTGCAGACAATTTCAATGGAAATCCCTAAATTTCTTCACCGAAATATTTTATATCTAAATTTACGTAAAACTTCAATGAGTGTTTTTTTTAATTAAATAACGCGTTTGTTATTGAAAATGTATCAGTTTGTTAAATTGCAGACAATTTCAATGGAAATCCCTAAATTTCTTCACCCAAATATTTTATATCTAAATTTACGTAAAACTCAAGAGATATGATAAAGTAAAGTGAATACTTTATAGAAAATAATCAAAAATTTAAATACTTTTTGAAGAATTTCTTAATTTTCAATGAGTGTTTTTTTATTAAATAACGCGTTTATTATTGAACATTTATCAGTTTATTTAAATTGCAGTCACTTCAGTATAAGTTATTTTTGTATGTTGTAACAAACAGAAAAATTGTATAGGAGAATACCGTGAAATAAGTTTATTGTTACTAAATATATTTGAAAATTGATCCGTTTTTGTAATCTAAATCACTATAATTTATTCTACGATTTAAGCTTAAAATTACCTGAATTTTCCAAAAAAATTCCAAATATTTTTTTCATTGAAAATAATATTGAAATAACTTAATTTTAATATGTTTTAAATGAAATTCAAAGAACAATTTTATTTTATTATTTTAACTAATAAATTTTTCTAGTTTTGTTCAATGAAAATTAAAGAATTTAGAACAAATTGTTAGTCTGTGACGATAATGTAGACAAAGTGTTTTTAAATAATTATTATGAAACGTATAGATTAGAAGCGAAACTTTCTATTGGAAATAATCTAAAATAGATAGTTGTGTGTGTAGCGTATAAAAAATGCTGTTTCGTTCGACGGAACGGGAAAACCCTCATCATCGCAAATTCGAGTTACGTAACGGCGACGAACCCACGTGCATAATGTGTTTTGCAGCGAACTTACTTTTGGTTACGTTCTGGATGCAGGTGTTGATGGCATCGAGGATCTCTTTGGGATCCTGCTCGTGCCATCCCTCTTCAGGTACAATGGGGTTGATATCGACGGCGTGCTCGGCGAGCTCTTTGGTATGCTTGGCGCGGAAGACGCAGAACTTGATGGTCCTGGTGCCGGCGTCGATGACGCCGATCAGAGGTTCCGAATCGCCTTTTCCCTCCGACATCTCGCACTTCGATTTATTAGACAACCTGTGGGGTTCCTCTCCGATCGAGAACTACTGGAACAAAAGTACAATGTTTAAATTGATAATAGATCGATTGTTTTTGTGTCGCAAATTCTCTCTCACACACGACGATGATTAGATAAAAATGGATGAACCCCATCGTCGATCCGGAGACTTACCGATCGCAACACTCTCAATTCTACGCAGAGAACTGGTGGTGAACTAGTACTCTCTTCGATGATTCCCTCGAATCATATCAATTCAAATTACTTTAATTCGTCTATTCCCGCCTAATCCGATAACCGCATTTCTCCTTTCGATATGAGCACTGCTGCCTTCACCCGACGAAGCTCGTCACAAAACTTAAACTTTCCTCCGACCGAACGAACGAACGAAAAATAAAACCAGTTTCGCTTTAACACTTTAACCAGTCAAGGTAACGAATTTCCATTTCCCTCCGCACATATCTTTACTAATTACGGACGCTAATCGCGAGTGGGTGTGTTTGTAAAAGTTTATCAATCAACGACGCGCCTCTATAAAAAGATCATCGCGAGTCGCGCGACGCTTATTCTTAGCCTTATCAAACGTATTACCACACAATTAATCTCGCATCGAGTTCTTTATTCCACCTAATCACAAGTGGACTGGAATGCAAGACACTCGCATGCATACCATCAACTAAGAATAGAACGCTTACACCGATAAAAAAAAATAAATAGAAACAACAATTGCAAAATTTGCGTAAACTACTTTCTTACTTACTTACTTACGAATCGGAATAAAGCCAAAACACGTTTGATCCTTTACGCGCGACGTAATTAATATTTAGCAACTTCGCCTGTCGATAAGGATTCCCCCAATTGGCGGGGGCGATTCAAAATGTTCGTAGATAAAACCCATTGTCTCATTGATTAATCCGCGTTTAATTGGAGCAGCGAATTCGCACTTTGCACTTTCCAATATTTACATAAGTAACGACGCGAAAAGGAAATGCAAATAATGCACGTTACACCTGACGATTCAATAACACATTTTTATAAAGTCTTTAATATATAAATTATAATAACAACGCATTACTTATACAGCAAATGTTAACAGCGATTTTCTCTTCGATTTAAAGTAAACAAGTCCGAGAAAGAATAACCTTGGGCTACAAAACGCATTTACACAATCACTAAGAATAATCAGTTTTCAAATTAAAGATTTGTTTAAATTAATTTGTAATCAAAATAATTGTAAGTTTAATTATTGCATCGAATTATGTAATCCAAATATTTGCTTAAATGAATTATAATTGTACAAGCTTACATCTCTGTGTTTAAGCTGAGATAAGAGTAGTATTGTAAAATGTGACTATTAAAGAAATTGCATCGCAACAAATTTATCTAATCTCGCTTTCAATTACAGTCGTACATAAATCAATTTGAAGAGGCTATTAATTTGTGAAAAATTAAAAGAATTTGTAGATATGGTAATCTTTTAGAAGACAATGGAAGGAAGAAAAACCTTGGAGGATGCGACGGGTCGATGAATTACGAAGCTCCAACCTTCGGGTAAACGAATCTGTCGAGCTCTAAAACCTCGATAAAACCGGCATAGTTACAACTATTATAAAAGTGTGAACGCAACAAAAGGGTTTTCACTTTGCGTCAGACGAGTGACCTCTTGACACGGACGGATTCATTAACTGCAGACCAGCGAAAATTCGAGTGAAATTAACGATAAATTTTATCGTTGAATAGTATTTAATAAATTGAATGGAACGACCTTCGACCTATGCATTCAAATGGAATACACCTAAATTTATTTAGTAAGTAAGACGGTAGTAATTAGGTACAAGGCGAGATCAGTTGTATTTAACAATCCGGATTGATTTCATTGAAACGTGGATGCATTATTACCAATCATTTGGATCGGACGAACTTCGACCCCGCCGGAACGCGGAAAAATCGCCGCACACATTTCTATATAATTGGTCTGACATAGATAGTAGAGAAAAATCGAAAGTCCATAAGTCGACGGCTTCCAAGTTTTTTTGAAGAATCTCCGCCCCGCCGTAAATCATCGCTCTGCTCTATCAGTGTGTAAACATTTGTCTATTATTTTAAGAATAATGAATGCAGCGTAAACAAAGAGTTGTAAATCAATTTCATATCATTTGTGTACGGATATTATCGCTTAAAACAACCGTTTGTTAATTAAACTTTAGTATCTGTAAATGCACCTGAATGAAAGATTAACATGGAAAGTAAATTTTGAAAACTAACAAATTATAGGAAAAGGATGTTTAAATTATACAAAAATTACTACTGAAAAGTCTAAAAAGGTATTATCATACACGAAAATAGACAGAAAGTTATCAAAACACAATGAATTTTCTATATAAAACGATTTTAAAATTTTGTTACTAATTAATTAAAACTTAATAGTTTTATACCTCCAACCAAAAAAAGTATTCTCATTTCTTGTTACAGTCGTCATTTATCAAAATCCACTTTTTTTTTAAAAGATTGAATCTGTTTATAACTATATAAATTACAAACGTTTTGTACCTTAAATATTTTCAAACTATTCCATCAATTTATAAAAACAATAAAATTTTAATGAACATAAAATCGATCATTTCTTACCCCAAAATGTTTGTGGTGTTGCCTTTTCTTCAGTAAATAGATGTAGTCCCATAATGTAAGGGATAGGTACACACAGAGATCTGACATGATTGAAGTGCGAAATGCTTTTGCCGCTCGAAGACGACGAATCTTAATGAGACTCGAATCTGGCTGCAGCTTCGTTTTATCCGCACTTCCTCACATAATCAACGCGACATTCAGAAATGTTTACACATGCAAATCAAATTCATTTAAACTCCGTCCGTCCGTCCATCAATACGCGTGATTTATCTACAAGAAATCCAGTGGGGTCACCGAACATCAAGAATTTTTCATGTTTTCATATTTATTTTGTTGTTGCTGTTTATTCTCTTCTTTTTTTTTTAAATAAACATAAATTCCGCAATCAATTGTTTCAATGGCGCGCAACGAAAATCGCAAGGACCTTTGACCCGAAGACTGCACAAGTTCGCTTTCAAAAAAACCGACAAATTCATATGGAAATGATTTAATCAAATACCCGGAATATCGTAATTACATTGAACTATAGTCATTTGGAATATTTGTATAGCATTGAGACAGTAAAGTTACCAAAAGTCAAGTTCAACAAACTCATTGTTATTACTACTTAGTTTCATGTAGATTATTTTTTGATAACTTTTGTATACTTTTTCACACAGTCATTATTAATGTAAATAAGTGATATGTATGGACGAGACAAATGAAGTTTGTTATGTATTCAGTAAGTTCAAGTTCACGGTTTTTTTTTTTAAATAAATAAATAATATAGTCTATCAATTTTTATCAGAAAAATTTAACTAAAAAAAAAATAAATTATAAATATTTTAATTAACTTATTGGAAAACTAATATTTTACTTATGATTACAAGGCCGAGTATTATCTTATTACAGTTTTCATGTATTAATTCGAAGAATTGATATTCAATGAATTAAGTATGCGTACAAATGTATTCTTTTGTTAACATTTCTTTAGAATTCAATTAAGTTTTTTTCGGTTTTTCCAACTATTGAATAATAATTGAAACTGATTATTTATGTAATCAAAATGCAACAAAAAATATTGCAATTTATGATAAATTATTATAATTTAATTTAAAATAATTAAAGTAATTTTGTTAATTAGATATAAACATTTGTAATTTTAGTACACTCATAAATTATTACAAAATTTACTAATATCAATAATAATGATTACATAAAAGAATTAAGATATTTAAATTAATTGTGATAGGCAACCAAGTTCACACGTAGAGTAAAAGTTCGGTATAAGTAACAAAAAATTATTTACGTCACGCAGTTGTATACAAATTAAAAGAATTCATTGCAGAAAGGTTTCTTTTAATTGTATACACTGGATGGCTTCAATGAATAATGAATATGTTATTATATGTGGTTAAAAATAGATGTTTAAGAACCATTTCTAACATTGTTATTGTTTTTCCTACAAAATTTCCTATTTGAATCCAATTGAAAATTATTACTTACAAATTTAATTTTATGCTGAGTAAAGTTTTCCTTTCAGGTGCAATATTGTTGTGTAAGTATGATAAGCAAGAATTTAGAAAATTTGGATTTTTCATGTGAACAAGAGAGAAAGTGGTAAGTTATGAATGAGAAATTGAAGTCAATGCAATAATTGTCTCACCTGGAAGTGTTTGTACGTAGACAGGGGGGTCCTGCAGATGCTGATCCGGTCTGAATGTCACGGTTTAATGAAGGGCTTAAATAGCAGGGAAGGACATGGAGGATGCCAACAGTGATAAATGCAGGTGCAAATTGGCAGCATGACAGTGAACGAGATCCAATCCAGATGTGATGAAGGTGGAATGTCCGTGCACCTCTCTCAGAATGCAAACACCACCGTCGTAACAGTTGCACCGGGAAGAAGTAGAGAGAAGTGCATGATGAGGCGTCGATGGTGATGACTAGAAGAAGGTGGTGCAGTTCGATCCTACAGAAATTTGCGATCGTCGGAGATGGTGAGGCTCGAACGCGATTCCCAACGACCGATCGTCCGAAATCAACTGGAATTCCGCATCTTCGCCATCCCAGATTCCAACCACAACTGACATTTAACACAGCTGACCTAACCTAGTCACGTTCGGGAAATACCGCATGACATAACATAACCCAGAGATGAGCGGTAAACACGGAACGGAGGAGATCACCGATCCGGTGGAGCAGATGCTGAAAAGGACCGGTTGCATAGATTTACATTACAAAGTTCAGGTAAGGAACTGTGAAATCTCCACAAATTTGATCTACAAATTTTGATCGATTCGCATCTTTTGCAGGAGTGCATAGCGGAAACGCAGGATTGGCGCAAGTGCCAAGATCAGGTCTCCATCTTCAAGGAGTGCATGAACAAGTACGTGGAGAAGCAGCGCAGCAAAATCAACAACTATTAGCATGTTTCGGCCCACCAAGATGGTCCTCATAGTCCGCTCCGATTTGAGGATGGGCCCCGGGAAGATCGCTTCCCAGTGCGCCCACGCCGCAGTTACTCTAGCACAATCGAGCGGAACTATAGTTAAGAACATGTGGATGCTGAAGGGACAGCCGAAAATCGTTTTGAAAGCTGACAACGAGAACGTGCTGAACGATATCCATCAGAGCGCCATCAAGGATAAGCTCAACGCCTGCTTGATACGCGATGCTGGGAGGACGCAGGTCGAAAGTGGGACTTTGACGGTGCTCGGGATCGGACCTAATAGTGTTGAAGACATTGATAAATTAACTAAACACTTGAAATTATTATAAAAAAAAAACAATCTGATCATCGTGTTACGTAATAAAGTGTTACTTTTGTATTAATGGAAAGAGTTCATTTGGTTGCATACAGTTTAAGTATGAATTTGTCAAATAATCAACAATACTTAAATTATATATCATATTTAGCATATTTACCACGTTATATAAGGTGCAATAAATGTTTTATATACATTTTGTAGTATTAAATTTTTGTTAATCATATTTGATAATTATTTTGAATTGCAGCGAAGCTATTAGGGTTGCGGCTATGGTTGGGTAAAAGTTCGTTACAAGAATATGGAGTGTCTCTTTCCAGAGTAAATTTTTGTAAGATTTATTCAAGTAAGTGTAGTTTAAAAGCGTTTCTTATAAGTTATTAAGTGTTTGCTAAATATAGGAAGACTGTAAGTTGATCCATTATTGTAAAATGATCGTGTAGTTGTAATAAGATATTGTTTGTTTTCTATAATGCATTTGGTTTTAGGTAGAATATGGGTGGAATGATGATGAAGTGAAGAGATGGAAATGAAATTCAAATATTCTTCTGACAACTAGCTGTCAGTGTGACGTCTCTTTGTTTTGATTTTGATGAGTGGTATTTTGGTTTGAAAATGTGCGAGAACGTTCTGGACGCGGAAAATTGGAAACTGGAGGCTCAGGCCGTGATCAACGACATAAAGGAGCACGTGGTGAGGGTGGAGATCAGCGAGGTGCTGCAGAGCTCGGATCGACGCATCTTCCTCAATTTGACCACGTTGGAGGAGCGCGACTACTGCGTGGAGCTCTCGGGAAGCGGATTCCGAGTGGTCGCAGAACGTCACGACGAGATCAGCAGCAGCAGCAGACCGGAAACGGAAGAGGAACACTTCGAGACGCCGTACAGCCTGCTGAACTCGCTGAGCCCCATGTTTGGACAGTCGTTCGGTGATGCGCTGATGGCGAAGCTGGCCTCTATCCAGAATTAGGTTAGGTGCCAGGGATTTTGTAGCGTAGTTGGGGACTTTCGTTGCAGTTGGCGCTCGTGTTTGTTGTCGGAGAGTGCAGCAGCAAACAGTGAGAGAGGAGAGAGTTTCGGGCTGGTCGACGACGGAACAATGATCAGCAGTGACACATTTATGACACGGATCTCGGGAATTATGATACTGAAAACAGTCGGTTTGGGTGTTTAATCCAGGTGCGAACTCGTCCCGAGCTGCCGGTTGCTGTGTGGATGTGCGTGCGTTCGTGATATCTACTATCTCCTCTGGGCTCTGCCTTCATCATCATCAACATCTTCTCTCCTTTGCACGGAAACCCAAGATACGCTACTCCTCTACTGCTGCTCATTCTCTCCGCGAATTGATCTAACCCAAACAGACGCACGAAATGATCCCAGTCCTCTATTAGGTAAGTTCTCGTGTAACTCGATGGCAAACACACAACGCTATCAAACCCACCTACTAATTACTTTCATCCAGGTTCGCCTTTATGTAATAATACTAGAACCATAACACTGCGCGCACACGGACGAGGAGGAACAAGCAAATTTATTGCTGCGACCTTAACATTTACGAAAATAAACATCAACGTCTGCCGTGATTCAAAACATTCTCGGCCCTTTTTTAATTACATTAATTGCACGTACTTGTATTATTTCGCATTTCCTTACGTTCATATAAAACAAAAAAAGGACAAAGACATGCAAAGGTCAACGGGATGCTTAATTCACAATTATTATATTTGTCGTCGTCATTAATCGGAGAGACGTAAATGTTCATTTCGCAAAGTTTAATTAAATAATTAATTAGAAACGGCGCTCTCTGTCCCATATCAATTTCCAGGTGACAGTTCGAGGCAAAAAACAATGCAGCACTTAAAATTACGTTACGAAACTATCCTAATTCAAAGTTAATTCGACGTGTAATTAAAATGTCCAAATGAAACTCGTACAGCATCTGCGGAAAACGCAGCGAGCGATGAGATGCATTGTACGCCGGTCAAAGGTTGCAACTGCGACGAGAATTACATAAAAAACAAAGATTATTATGACAGTTTTAGAAGAAATATAAATACGTTGATTACTCAGCAACCTAATAAGAATGTTATCAACGTGAAATGTAATCTTTCAATTTGAAGATTATAGAAATTGGTTGTTTTTTTTTTACTAACTTGACAGATATATTGCTACTGTAGTCGACAGATTCAGTTAAATCCAGTGGAAAATACTTATCTTGTTTTTTTTTGTTTGTTTATATAATTTATTTACAATATTTAACAAAACAATGTTAATTGATAATTAAATCCAAGTGTTTTACATGATTTAAAGCTATTTTCTAATTGGATTACATTTGGATTATTTTGGGTTTATTTCCAAAATGTTATGAAATGGAAATTTATGTAATACTTACGCATTATTTTTTAATTGACCTGAATAAACTTGTTCACTTACTTGATGATTGGAATGATTCATTCGTTTTGTTTATTCTAAACTGTGTTGTTTGTAATTATTGATGTAATTTTATAGTTGTTGCAATAAATATTGTCATCATATTATTAAAATAAAAAACGAAAGTTTACCCTAAATCTATTTAAAAAATGTAATAAATATACATTGATTAATTGAATTTGCTTGAATAGTTATAGAATAAAACATGCAACTTTCATGAAAATGATCCATTGCACCGGAAAGTGCATCTTTCTTCTTTTTTTGTTTGTTTTGTTAGATCGATTCATTCGTGGTTTGCATTATGTAATTATAACCAGGCGCTTCCAACAGACTTTAGACGGCACCTGTGGCGTGCGTCGCACATTTAAAGTGCGAGTGTTTGATTTCAATAGAATATGCATTAGGTGTTTGGTGACTGGCACCGTTTATTCTTGTTACGACGAAGGCCGATTTACACTCTAGTGTGTTTGAACCACTGCTCTAAATTACATTAGGTGTACACTCCAGAATTAAATGCAACTACTTATAGTTCTATTGTCACAGTATTAAATCGGGTCTATATCGCAAGCCCGACAACCGTCTATTGAAATCCGGACTGTATCGAAATCCCGACTGTATTAAAGTCCTGATGCTTGAAATCCCGACTATGTCAAAATCCTGACTACCATAATCCCGACTATATCGAAATCCCGACTACCATAAAAATGTTATTGTAGAAATTTATAATAATAAAAGACACTGTCGGGATTTTGATTGTCGGGATTGTGGTAGTCGGTATTTTGATATAGTCGGGATTTCGATACAGTTGGGATTTTGAGCCAGCCGGGATTTTGCATATCCTTTTATCCATACTACAAATACTATGAAATGCAATACGTTTACAATTTGCTATTTTCAACTGAAATGAACTGTGTAATTGAAAGAAAGTGAAGTTTTGGAATGCCAAGTCTCGTTTTCTAAATATTTTGATTTTTTTTTTGCTCGTCGAGAATCTGCAAATAATCTGATACTTATTTACGTTTGTTGGAAAGTTTCTATTGAATGAGACGTCGATCCACAAATGGATTGGCGGTTTTTTGATTGGTGTCAGTTGTTGCAATGGAAATTAAATATTTGGCGAGCATTTGAAAAGAGGTGCCTTTTTTCGCAATCGAATTTCGAAAATATTATTACATGATTCCGTTTTACATTTAAGGTAAGTTTACCGTTAATCATTTAGGAATAAAACTTTAACGTTTCTTTCCAGCATGCTTAATTATGTTTATTAAGTTATGAACTTGTTTGCTGTTGTTGAAAACGATCGGATCATCAATTTGCTCAATTTCCAAGAACAGTGTAACTATTAATGAGATAACATTGCGCAGGATGCTGGAACGTGTTGTTTTCTTCGAAGCTTCTGTTTTCCAAGTACTATAATTTATTTCCATTTGTTGTATAAAAATAGAAACTGTAATCGATTCCGCAATTTGTTATTATAACGTGGGATGCTAATTGAGCTATACCTTCATATTCATTACGATTATTATTTGTCTGAACGTCTTTTTTTTTGCCGTGATGAATTCTCATTCATTGATTGTGCAATGCGAAGGTCGCCGTAGTATGTTCGCTTGAATGCAGAGTAATTAGTGTGTGTTTCTGTGTATTCCTGGATGTATTTTTATGTATGGATACATTTAAGGTTTACGAACTGCGCGGATGAGTAAGTGGCAAATGGAATGAGTCGAAAATGAAGAGAGAGAGGCCAACGGCTTCCAGTTTCGCTGTTGCGCAGGATTCGGCTGATTATTTGTGATAAACAGGCTCATTAACATGATTGAGAGAGCTACAGAGCATATTATCCAGATATAAAGTGCGATGGGGGAGAAGTGCGCCGGTTATTTATAGACGACAGTGCGCGACTTTAGGGTTGATTCCTGCTTCTATTTTCGAAGCGTTGACGTATTTACCGATTCAATCTCCTCAACATCTTCATATACAGCTCTAAACTCGTAACGCAAATCCTGCTGGAACAGACTACGCTTTACTTGACAAGTATAAATGAATGTAAGTTTTTTTTTGTAGAATTCGGATAAATCAAGTAACAAATAAATTATTCTTTTTAATGGTATAATTATGTTAATTCTACTCTTTAAATATAATTCTGAATTTACTGATGATGATTGTTTACGCACATTCTAACTCTTCATATCCAAATACGTTAAATACTTGGGATGAATCGAGTTACGTTATTTGCATCGAAAATTCGATGGTAATCGTCAAATCGCCAAATCCGATCCGTATCCAAATTCCGCGATTAATTCATTCTCCACCGTCGCAGTTGTGCGATGGAACTTCCGCCTTTGTTTTTATTTATGTACGTGTTGTTAGCCGAAGAGCGTTGATCCTTTCTTTTTTTTTTTTTTGAAATGCGAAAAGCCGCCGGACAAAATCACCGTTTCGTCATTTTTCTCGCCGTGACTGTTTTATTTGAAAAACACTTTGTGTTTCGGAATGGCATTGAAAAAGCACACACAAACAGCGTCAACGCAATTTAATTGCCGTTCAATAATATATTTTAATTGTCAATGTTTTTGTTATTTTATCAAGTTAACAGTTTGAAGAACTAAAATTTTAGTTTAATACACAAAATCTGTTTTTTGTTGTTGTTGTAATAATTCTTTGATGTTGTGTAGAAGAGACATATGAAGGGGATTTTGGGTGGAAGATGAAAAAATATTATCGTGTTGACGTCTGCAAGCACGCTTTACGATACCATCTACTAACTTAGAATAATATTTGCTGTGTCTCCTCTGTTTATTTAATTAACTTAAGCTGTTTACTTCTTGTTACTGGTGAAATGCAGTTAGAGCTTGCGCTTGAGCTAAGTTATCGTTATTTATTTACGATCCACGAAAGTACATAATCATCCACGAATCGTTCCATTTCAGCCCCCCAAATCTCTACTCGTTTCAGTCTTATATCACTTATCAACTATATGTTAATGTAGACCAATTTTTTAGTACAAGTTTTCAATAGAATGTTTGTTGTAATTAAACATATTATAAAGATAAAAATGCTGATTCTGTTGGAAGACTATGGACTGCGGTGCGCACGTAATCAAACAGTCTTATGTAAATTTTATTTTGCACTCTGAATTCGTGCATATATTAATGAGAAATTAAAAATTAATATCAAAGGTTGTTTTATAAAATTTGATCCTGGGAATCGCTGGATATGGTAAATTTATGGATCAAACACTACGTTCGTTCGCGATTTACGTAAAATATTTACACTGGGATTTCGTGATTCACCCTGTATTAATAGACTTTGTTAATAAGGTGTTCGTGTATAATCTGTGCGCGTATTTCAATCATTTCGAATTTGATTCTACATGATGCAGATTGCAATTAAATTCTGCGCGACAAGTCGAGGAGACTGTAATTGGACGTGGAAAAGGTTTTCAGCAGCGGTGATTCTCATTTCAGTCTTTTTCTCTTGCAGTGCGCGAGAGACAACGACGAGCACTCTAGTTTGCTAACTCTCCTGGCGAATTAAAAATGACAGAGAGAGAGACTAATGGGCCATCTCCCTTAATCCCCCCGTATCAAATTAGAGTCATCATTTGTATAATGCAGATTGCATTAAAATTGATGCAAAATATTTTAATATTACCGAAGGGATGAAGGAAGAAAAGCCAAGGATGATGATGATGATGATGAAAGAGGGGTGGAGGAATGAATACAAAAGTGTTCAGCGTTCCAGGCTGAAATGTGCCATGAGAGAAAATTGTATCCCGAGTCACGCGAATATTTGCACGATGATGTGTCTTTCGCGATAAAAATAGAATCGGAAGACAAAGGACGTTAATAATTCCGCAGGATATATAAAAGAAAAATTTGTCCCATTTCCATTATGGATTTATTACGTTTCAAATAAAAAATCAATTGTTAAATTGTATTGGATTAAATTACGTTAATAAATTGTTGCAGCAATTTACACGTTCGTGGAAAATCGATAAGACGATGATGGGTTCATCAAATCGAAAGTTTCCAAGAAAACCGATACAATTGCGCATTGTTCTCCATCGATTATCGAATAAAATATGTTTTTTGATTGATTCCGGCGGGTCTAAAATTAACGAAGCGATTGCGTTAATCGCTCTGTTTACGCGACGTGCGGTAATAGTTGTCTGTGTGCAGCACATCTTTGTTCTGATGATTGATTTGTTCGCAGGTAGTGTTGCTAATTGGGTTCAAGTCATCTGCGGATTCGCGAAATTTCCTTCCTCTCGCTAATCCGATTGTGGCGAGTCACAAAGAAATCGTAGAAATAGCGACGTGTCGGTGTGCGGATAATACTAAATCAATATTTGATTTATCTATCACGGATATATATATCAAAAGAGACGCGATAGAAGCCGTGTAAATAAATGTGTATCATCGTGTGTTTTGGATGTATGTTCAAATCATCTTGTTTCTATACAATCTCATTGATAAAAATTGTGTCTTCTCTATAAACATTATTAATTTATTTATTTTATTACTAATACTAATTAGCAATTTTGGTGTATCCACTATTTGGCAAATTTTGACATTTATATTGCGAAAAATGTTCAATTATGGTTGGCTCTGGCCGATAAGCGTTATTAATTTGTTTCATTTTTTTTTTTACTAACACTTATTAGTAAACAAAATTAACAATTTTGGTATATTTGTGTTGCAAGATAAGATATCGTAGATATTTTCAATATAAAACAAATATTTATAATTAATCGCAGAGTTCA